GCAGGTCAATAAGAGCCTCACAGGGCAAAAGGACGAGGAGAGCGTCGTGAGAGAGAAGAGCAACGACAGTGAGCTGTGGAGAAATCCAGCTCTGGGATGCAGCGGTATCTCCAGGCTGGGGGGAAAGGGGGTTGGAAAGTGTTTCCTCAAGGGGTTTCCTCAGGGGCTGTCAGGCCAGTAGGTCCCGGAGTGGCCCATCAGGGACCCCTGAGTGTGGACAGTGGTGGCTAAGCTGGCAAAGCATAGCAAGGCCAAGGCAAGGTCTCGCGATGAAACCCAAGGATCAAAGGCAGTGCCCGCGAGGAGTCTCTAGGTGGCCCAGCCTTTGATCCAAGGCCCAAGGCACGGGTCAGACAGAGAGCAGCTCCAGCCTACGATCCCAGGCAGAGCGCGTGCGCGACACCGCCCGTCCCGGCGCATCCTCGTGACGCCATCAAGCGCGCGCCGTCCCGTCCGTCGCCCTGAATTGTCTGGGCCCCCAAAGAAAGCGGTGAGCTCCGCCTGCTTCTTCTGTCCCCGTGGCCAGAAAAACCCGAATCTTCCTTCAGAGGTGGGGCCGCCTACGCTCCCCGACCCCATCGTCAGGCCGATCGGCCCTCAGGCCCAGCTCTCCTCATCGGAGGCGACTGCGCTCCAGGCCCTGGCAGGCACAGCTCTCCCACTATGCCCTGGTCCGTCCCGTACGATTCGCTCCCGGGTTACGATCGCGAGCATTTTATCAACTCCCCGCCCCCTTGACTTCAACTACGGGAGTTCAGGGAGCCTCCCAGGCCTAGAGGAGAAGATGATTCGGAGGTCAGGGAAGGGCCCTAGTGGGCGACCGGCCTGTGCGGGCCATCTCGACCCTTAGCTCAGGTTGGCAGAGAACCTGGGCCAGCGATCCCAGCTGGGTCTGCTCGGGAAAACTGGGCTTCCCATCCCCCAGATCAGGAGTGTTCGGAGGCAGCGCTGCTCAGCGAGCTAGTGAGCCTGTGCCACTAGGCATTTGAGCAGAACTTCGGAGCCCAAAGGGTGTTATATGATGTGTCCCCTGAGGTCATTTCAGGAGGTGCCACCCTTGCCACCAACGGAGTGGGGCCTCTCAGGTAATGCCTTCTGATCAAATCCGGCCAACAGAAGACGAAATGCATAGTAGATAGGCGTGGCCAGTTCCTCAAAGGAGACCGTTGTATAATAAGGGCCACATTAGGCAGAGTCCAGGGGTCAGGGCTTACCACACAGCTGAAGGGAGACTGCTTTCAGGGATATTTGCCCCAGGGCTTCATTTGTATTTGTATTTGTGAGTGAGTGTGTGTGTGTGCAGGGACTGGGGCTTGAATTTAGGGCCTGAGTGCTGACCTTTAGCCTTTTCTGCTCAAGGCTGGTGCTCTACCACTTGAGCCACAATCCCACTTCCAGTTTTTTGGTAGTTTATTGGAAATTAAGTCTCACAGACTTTCCTGCCCCAGTGGCTTCAAACCAAGATCCTCAGATCTCAGCTTCCTGAGTAGCTGGGATTATGGGTAGGCATCAGCCACTGATGTCTGGCTAATATATATGCTCCTGTGGTTCTCCTTCATCCTTTCAAGCCAGTCCTCTGTTAATGCCTGAATCTCCATCCCTTGTCCCAGGTGTGTCCAATCCTTAGTTTTAGATTTTAGGGCCTCAGACCCCTAATTCTATGCCTTTTACCTAAGATTCCAAGATTCCATTCCAGTGACTCTAAAAACAGGAAAAACTTTAAAGTCAGGAAAGTACTGTTCAACCAAAACTAGGCTTGTTATGAGTGCCGAGATGGCTAGAGCTGGAAAAACAGAATTCTCTTAATGTGGAGGTGGGGTGGTTTAAGAAGCATACTTAGCATGTGTAAAGGCCCTAGTTGGTCCTCAGCACTGCAAAAACCAAACAACAAAAAGAAACTCATTTGTCAAGACTGGCTGGCTTTTATGAGTACTAAGCTCTGTCATTTATTACCTCCACAAGGGACATGTGGAAAAAACCAGCCTTGTGCAGCTCTAAGAGAAGCTTTAAGGAATTTGGGAAAGCAGAGATGGACAGCTGTATGGGGACCCCAGTTTGGAAGGGGCAGGATACCCATCTTCAGCTTGGCAGCACTGAATGCAGGGCTGGATGTTAAACAAGCTCTGGCCCAAGTATGGTTTCCACCTTCTGACCCTTGCCCTAGTCTCTGAGGCCATTGTCCCTTCTGGGCACAGTAAGAGGATAACAGGCTCTTGTCTGTGTAGGTATTGGAAGCTTAAGCTGAGTAGAGCCAGGCTGCGACTTCCAGCAGGTCTTCGGATGTGGCTATGGCAGGACATACTGATACTGATCTGTAGTCTAAACACACACCTCTGATGTGAAAACCCAGCAACCTCCTGGGGTTCTTTCCAGTATTGTCTTTGCCTCTAGTTTAGTAGGGGGAGGAGGGGGAGCTAGAGCTCCAAGCTGGATGTGGAGCCTCTTCTGCCTCCACATTTGCTGACGGCCTGTATCTTTCATCTCCTTGGTCCCCATTGCTTTTAAGGACAGGCATTGGTCCCAGCCAATGGCCTTGGAACTGGTTGGGCTCTTACCATCAGCCTTTTCTCTGCAGCCTGATTAAATGCAGTTGGTTCTTCCAGACTCCTGCCTGCATCTCCAGGGCTTTCTCTCTTCCCTCCAGCCCAGAGGTACACCCAAGTCTTTCCTGATGTTAACATCCTCCCCTTAGAATTGAGACACCCCCTTCAGATGACCGATGATACAGCCTATGCTATGGGTTCCGCCATGGCAAATGGCTCCTCTGCAGTCCATCCTGAGGAATCAGGCTCAGCCCAATCAGCATCTCTGTCTGGACTACTTGATGTCCACCCTGAGCTTCAAGACACAGCAAGGGGATCCTGTTGGTGATAGGATCCCTACTTCTCCTGAGTATGGGAACCAGGTTACTTCTGGAGATAGTCTCAGGGAGGATGTAGACACATTATTCTGTACCCTGACCTCAGCCCTGTGTAGCCCTGTTCCCTTCCTATGGGGATGGGATGGGAACAAACATTTCCTTTCCTATGTAGGTGTGCAAGAAAGGTATGTGGAGGTATGTGGGGGTGTGGGATCCCCTCTGGGCAGCTACTGCACTGCAAAAAAAAAAATCTACAGCTGCAAGAGACAGCTATCCTTTGATAGCTTGTTCTGGACTAAGTAAGCATTGAGCCAAGTACCTCATTAACTGAGGCAAATTCTCTTGTAACCCCATTTCTCAGATTAAGGAGGTTAAGCTAGGTGCTGGTGGGTCAGGCCTGTAATCCTGGCTACTTAGGAAGCTGAGATCTGAGGATCAAGGCTGGAATCCAGCCCTGGCAGGAAAGTCTGTGAGACTCCATTAATCCCCAGTTAACCACCAAAAAAAAAAAGCTGAAAGTGGAGTTGTGGCTCAGATGACAGAACCTTGGCCTTGAGCCAAAGAGCCAAAAAGCTCAGGGACAGCAAGTTCAAGCCCCCAAACTGGCACCCCCCCACCCCCCACACAAAGTTTGTGGTTAGATGACTTCTGCAAAGTCACACAGCAAATTGGGCATCAGTCTGAGCCTGTGCCCCACCTCCATCCTCTCTACTTCCTGGGTGCTGTAGCCTAGGGACAAGCCCCAGGGGAGCCCAGTGCTAAACACTGTGAATCCATCCCCACAGCCAAGCTTGAGTTCTAGTGTGGCCTGGGCCTCAGGGACAGGGAACCTCTTTGTGTAGGGTTCCAGCATTTGTGTGGGGGAGGGGGAAGGGAAGAAGTGAGGGAGGGAGGAGGTGAAGACAGCCTCTGAGATGGGCAGGTTTGTTACAGGGGACCTCTCTGCAGCAACAGATTGGGAAGTTTGCATCTACTGAGAACACATAATCTAAGTACCACACAGTTCAGGCTGTGTGGTTACCTGCGCTTACTGTGCCAAAGCCCACACCTGACCCTCAGAGCTGCCCCCAGGACCCTTTGCACTCTGCATCTTGCCTTGCACCTGACTTTTCTCCTGCTGCATGCCAGCCCTGCACTTCAGGGACACAGGGCTGCCCATGTGAGGCCTCAGGTACCACTTATTCTTCCCCACTGCTCCTGCAGTGGGACTTGCCTACCTGGAGGCTCCTACTGACCAGAGGCAATCCTAGGTCCCAGCTCATCTTTGCTTGCCTTTTCCCCGAAAAGGTATTTGAACAGCAAGGTTTTCTGCCACTTACACAGCCCACAGCACAGGTTGATGGCATCCTGTCTGAGGGAGTCCTCTGCTTAGCTTTTGGCTATGAAATGGGCCAAGGTAGGAGTGGGAGTATCCAGGTTCAGAGCTCTGCAGCTTTTTAGGATTGGTTCCCATCTGGGCCTGGCCATGGGAGAGGGCAGTGGGGCAGGGAGGGGGGTATGCCCTCTTGAGGTCCAGGAGAATAGGGGGTGAGGCACCCAGAAGCCCCTAGCCAGGCAGCCCAGCCTCACTCCTTTTCCAAGGCAGCTGCCTGACATTTTGAGAGAAGGAATGGAAAAGGCACCCTCCCCCTTATCCGCAGGACAATGTGGGTGTCTTCACCTCACCAGTGAGAGCTTCAAGCACCTCACTATGCCTCTCCCTGCATAAAGCCCATTTCACTGATGGAGGGAGGGGAAGTGGGCCATGCCACAGGCTGAGGGACAGAGAAGCTTTGTACCTGACTTTCCTGGGCTCCTCCCCAGGTGAAGGGCTGAAGATTCTGACAGTACTCTCCCAGGCCCAGCCTCCACTCTGCCCCTTTGTGCTGTCCCTCTGCTGTCTATCGGAAGGCCTGGGAGACACCCCTTCGGCTGACCATAGGACCTTTCCACAGGAAGATTGGAAGCAGCCCCGAGTCCTTGGGCTTATCTAATTTGGCCTCTTGGGGAACTCAGTAGTGTGGCTGTGGTTGCATTGTTCAGAGTGGACACTAGGCTTGTCTACTATCTTATTTCAAGTGTCCTCAGGAAACCCTCCAGGGGAGACTTGGCCATCGCTGCTCCCCACAAACATGGGATCAAAAAGGGATGGACGCAGGGGCAGGAGACTACAACAGGATCCAGTTTATTCTGCCTTGGCAGGGTGGTCCTGAGAGTGGCAGATGCCACCCTGTCCCGGGCGGAGGGAGGGCCCGAGGGCCAATTAAGGCCAATGGCGGGAGAAGCAGGGGGCATATAGCCCCTGGAATGCGGCGAGGCCAGGCTGAAGCCCGGAGGCAGCTGTGGTAGGCCAGAGCAAGGTGCTCCTGCCACCCAGGGTGGAAGGCACCGGACTGTGACCGGAATATGGCTACAAGGCCGAGGACCTAGGCCACATGGGCACCCTGGGTAGTGGGGCACAGGGTCATGTGACACAGAACACGAAACACAAGCACATGGCTCACGAGTAAGCACATGAATAAGAGGGCACAGATTCACAGGCCAGAGGGGCACTTGCCATGGACACATGGACACAAGGGTGGTATTACAAACAGACCACAGGGGAGACACAACACTATGAAACACATCATGGCCACCACAAACAGACCATGCCACGGAGCTCAAGGGACAAGGGGTCCTTTTGGCACAACTGCACTGGAATCATAAGAGACACAGTGGTGGGGCTTGGTCTGGAGCGTCTGGGAGTTCCCCCCAGTCTCTGGATTTAGTCTGTCTTCCATATTTTGTTGAGCAGCTTCACCACCTCATCATAGATGACGAACACAATGGCCACATCCAAGCAGACCCGGCCCAGGCGGGGGACAGTGCCCTTGTAGAATCTGGGTGGAGGAGGGGGATGAGTGAGCAGAGAAAGGATGGTGTCCCCCCTCCCCCACGGTATAACCCCTGCATTTTTTATTTTTTGGGTCCGGTTGTGGGGCCTGAACTCTGGGCCTGGGCACTGTCCCTCAGCTCTTCAGCTCAAGGCTAGTGCTCTACCACCTTGAGCCACAGCACCAGTTCTGGCTTTTTTCTTTTTTGCTTATGTGGTGCTGAGGAATCGAACCCAGGGCCTCATGCATGCAAGGCAAGCGCTCTACCACTGAGCCACCTTCCCAGCC